GTGGGGAAGGGAGAACAAAAGCCAAGTGCGGACTTTGCTGTAGCCTGGACCCCTGGCCTGGCACTCTGGGGCTGAGGGTGCCCAGTGGGACCTACCTGGCCTGGAAAGGGCCGGCCCAGGGGACAGTGTGTCTTAGCACACCTCCCCTCCCCCAACTCCGCCACCATGGAGCAGGAGGCATTGAACAGCTGGCGCCATGAGGGTGTGGGGGAGTGAGGGGGGTTGGAGGGGATTTGGGAATGCAGGACAGGCTAGGGCCTGCCTGTTAAAAGACGCCAGCTTCCGTGGCTGGCTGGCCGGAGGAGACACGGCCTTGCCTTCCGACCGACCGTTGGGCCGCAGTCGGTCCGCAGTCGGTCAGGCTGTCCACCCATTGGTTGGCTCTGTAGCGTAGGGGGAGGAAGACGCGGCAGGCCTGTCATGGCTGGCTTAGGGCTGCCAGAAAAAAATACAGGACATGCAGGTAAACAAGTCATTTCTTAGCATAAGTGTGTCCTCTGAAATTGCTACAAGTACTTATCGTGGATCTGGAACTCACATTTAACTGGGTGTCCTGCATTTTTATTTGATAAGCCTGCCATCCTAGGCCAGGGGCTCTGGGAGAGGTAAAAGTAAGCTCACCAACCTCCCCCAGACTTGTTCCTTGCTGGTTCCAGCCTCAGGGATAGCACCCTCTCCCTCCCTCCTACACCCCAGGGCCTCCAGCCGCAGGCCCACATCAGTCTTACCTTCTGAACCCTGGCCTGTCGGCTCTCCCTCTGCAGTCTCTCTCCCATCTGCCCCAACCCCCTACACACCCTGCCATGGGACATGAGTTCCCACCTGCCCCGCCCCCAACACACGTTATTGTACTTCCTTGCTTAGCTGTGCTTACCCAAAAGCTTGTGGCTCTCTCAGGACCCCAGGCATGGGCTGTGGCCCCAACCTGAGTCAGGTCCTGTCCCGCCTCTGCCCACAGCTCTCCAGCGCTCCCCTCTCTGCCACAATCCTCCCAGCTCCCTCCTGGTTAGAAGCCCAAGTCCTCCCCACTTCCTCAAGGCCCTGCAGAACCTGCACCATCCCGTCCCTGCCCTCACCTCCTCCCGCTCTCCCCCTTGCTCACTGTGCTCCAGCCACACAGGCCTCCTCACTATTCTTCCAAGAGCCGGGCATGGTTCTGCCCCAGGGCCTTTGCACCAGCTATTACTGCTACCTGGTGCACACCTCGAACAGAGAGCCACATAGCTAGTTCAATGGCCTCCCCTCTTGTCGGTCTCTGCTCAAATGTCACCTCCTCAATGTGGTCTCCCTTGTCCACCTTATTTAAAATCGCAACCACCTGGACTCCCCATCCTCCTTTCCTGCTGCAGTTTCCTACACAGCTCACACCACCTTCCAACAGACTATATAAGGTGTACTTTGTAGTTTGTATCTGGTCCACCTCCCTCAAGAGGACAGAAACTTCCTCTGCGTGGCTCTCTGCCACATAACCCCAGCAGGTTAATACTTCCTGAATGAATCAACATCACAGTGCCTGGAATGTTCTCCTACAGCCCCTTTCCACCTTTCTAAGTACTACTTTTTCTCCAAGACTTACCTGAAAAAGTGGCTTCATTTTCCTTTTCCAGGTCTTCTTTATCCACAGGGCAGCTCAAAAGATCTTTTGATGCTCTGGCCTGCCCTTGCTGACCCTTCTCCAAAATCTTCTGTGGCGTCAGGACTCTGTCAGTCTGGCTCTTGCCAACCTAACTCCAACTCCACCTCTCTTCCTGACACCCCTACCCCCATGAGCCCCATCCTCCAGCCTCACTCTGCGCCTTCACACTCCCTGGTCCCTCTGACTGAAACAGCTCCCCACTACCTTTGCCTGCCTGACCCCTATTCATCTCTCAGGCCTCAGCTTAGATAGACATCACCTCCCCCTGGAAGCCTTCCGGGACTCCCCATCCCTGACCCAACTGGGTCTAGCCCCTCCTCTGGGCTCTACCATGCCTGTGCGCCCCCATCACAGCCCTGATCACCCTTTATTTTATCTACCCGGTCACCAGAGCCAACTCATCCATCAGACACAGGCGACCCCAGGTTCCACAATACCTTTAGGGACATACAAAATGGTTTTATTTTCATTTCTCTGAAAATCAGGGGGAAATTTTAATAAAATAATACCAATGCAGTTGTAAAAGATACTTTGTAATATTTTTTCATGGAGGGAGGGACTTGCAATGGCAAAAGTGTCTTGGGCCCACAAGTCTTCATGTGGTCCTGCTGGTCCCATGGGTGTCTTCCCACTGGGCTATGAGTGTCAGGAAGGTAGAGGTGGAGACTGGGTCACCAGGGATGCCCAGTGACGACCTGGCACACAGCAGGTGCTTAATAATTGTTGAATGTATAAAAATCCAGTGACTGCTGGGTCCGTAAGGCCAGGCCTAGCATGGCTCACACATTACAGGAGATGCCAGATAAATAGATGGATGGACGGAGGGAAGGGTCAGAGGGCAGAAAGGGCGGGCACCTGGATCAAGCGGGGACCAGCAACGCCACCTTGTGGCACAATGCTGGCCTGCCTCTCCCTCCACAGTCCGTGGAAAAGAACTGAAGAGCTTTCAGAGTCCTCCCACTGAAAGGAGGTAGAGCGGAGGAAGAAGAGAAGGAGGAGGAGGAGAAGCAGGGAGAGCGAGAAGGAAAAGGAAAAGAGGAGGAGGAACGGGAGTGGTGGGGGGGAGGCAAAGGTGGCAGCAGGCAGAAATCTCAGAAACAAAGACTGAAGACAGATAACTCCAGGTCCAAACCCCTTGGCTGCCCATTTTTGGCTGTGTGATGCGGGTATGACATCACCTCTCTGATCCTCAACTCCCTCATCCAAGAAGTTGGAAAAATCAAAATCAGGCCTCTGAGTAATGATGAAAGAGCTGAGAAAACAGCGACTATTTCTTACCTTCCACTCTGGGGCTCCGGGACAGGTATTGCCTTACAGTAGCCTCCCCCAAGGAGGGGAGGTGACAGATTTTTCCATGAAGGCATGGTTGGGGCAGAGAAAGACATGGATAGGGGTAGAGTTGTCAGATTTAGTAAAACCAACAACAACAAAAAAGGATGCCCAGCTCCATTTGAATTTCAGATTAACAATGAATAATTTTTCAGTATAAGTATATCCCAAATATCACATGTGATGTACTTACACTCCCAAAATGTATTCGTTGTTGACCCGAAATCTGAAGTGAACTGGGCATCCTGTATTTTATCTGGAAACCTGAGCGTGACGGTGCCCGGGGAGGTAGGCAGGGAGGCTTCCAGGAGCCGGGGGCTGCGGTGTAGCTGCCCTTTCCTCTCCCTCCTCCACTCACATGAACACATGCTCAGTGGCAAATGCCCTTGACTGTGCTCACAGGGGACTGGCGGGTGGGGGCTCGTCCCCATACCAGGAAAGGTGGTGAGCATAGCTCTTCTCCTCAGAAGAGGTGGGGCAAAATTACTAGGACATTGGTTTCCAAATCAGAATTGGGTTACAACGCCTTGACCAAGAATATTTTGGCCACTTCTCAGCCCTGAAGGCCACTCAGAAGCTGAAGACTACCAGGCATATCTCCCAGTGACTTTAGAGCTGTGTGACTTTGGATAAGTCACTTCACCTCTCCGAGCTCTAGACGTCCCCAACCCCTTCTCTTCCAGCTCTCCCCCTCCTGCTCCAGCCACATGGGCTTCTTGATTGCATCTCTGACACAGCAGGCATGGTCTAGCCTCAGGGCTCTTGCACATGCTGTTCCCGTCATTGGAAACACTCTTCCCAGATCTGTACATGGCTCCCTCCTCTCCTCTGACTTCTGTGTTCAAACAGCACTCAGGAAGGCCTCCCTGACCATCCCATTAAAAGTTGAGCTCCCATTTTACTGATCCTGGTCCTTTGCTTTTCTCAGTAGCACTTGACACCACCTGACCGATTATGCATTTTACTCACTTATTCATTGTCCATCTCTCTCGCTGTGTGGTGAGCACCACAGGGCCAGGATCTGTGTCCCCAGCACTCAGCACAGCAGCTCAAAAAAAACTGTTAAATGAATGAATGAATGAGTAGGAAAAAATGGCCTGCAAGCAAATGCGAAGGTTGTATCTGTTATAATTTATTGCTGAAAGCATTTTTGGGTCTTAGACTTGCAAACCTGACTAGCTGCATGTGGTTACTTAAATATGAATCTTCAGCGTCTTGGTGTGCAACAGCCATATTGCACTAGTGGTTACCTACCATACTGGATGTAACAAAATTCTAGAACATTCCTAACACCTCAGAAAGCTCTAGTGCACAGTGTGAGTGTAGAACCTCTCAATAAAATGCACTTAAGTCACAAATGTCCAATTTTTCTATGCTCTTTCTGGAGGTGCCAGTAGTCTGACCTCAAACCATATACGAGTAATTTAGCAGAGGTGGCTAACTGGTGGCCTAACTAAGTTTTATTTGGTCTAGTAGTTTTCTAAAAGGCAGGACAGTGAATTCCCGTGAATCTACGAATCTCTGGGAGAGCAATGCTCTGCCCTGTCTAGGCAGGGCATGCTGCCACCCCATTTACCTCCTGCTGACCACTGGGGACATCTGAGTTTGAGACTTTGGTTAATAGACCAAGAGGATAGATGTTAGGTTTTTTTTGGGGGGGGGGGGCAAAGGGGAGGGGAATCCAAATGGGCGTGGCTTCAGGAAGTGGTCGATTCAGCAGAGATCCAGGAGTTGGTCCCTGCATTGCCCTAGGTGGGCGGTCTCTGAGCCTCAGTTTTCTCATCTGTAATATGAGGATAAAGGAACACATAGTGTTGAAGAATTAAGTGGCACTATCACACAGGTCATGGAGGACAGAAGGCACTGGATATCTGTTCACCGCTGTGGTTAAAGCTGTGCATAATGCTGGGCTGGGTTTGGCTTCTTCACTCTTGTGCCCACGGTGCAAACGTGGTCCCTGACACACCCAGTTCTTACAGCCTCTGTTTGTCTACTGGAGAAAGACGGGCCCGGGGGACCCCAGGAGCGTGCTTACCTCCCAAAGCCAAGTTCATAGGGTCTCTAGGTGGGGCTGAGGTGCCCTGGGCTGGATCCGGCGTCGTATAGGGGTCTCTCCCAACCCTGGGCACCGCTTGGTGGGCGCGTACCCGAACCCGAAGCCGAGCCCTTCCCGGACTTCACTAGTAGCTCCAACGTCCCGGGACCGGAGAGGGGCGTGGTCTGACGACCCCAGACCGGATTGGTCTTTCGGACCGTCACTCCCAGGCGCTCGGCCCCCAGTATAAAGGCCCGCCCTAGACCTGCCCAGGGCCCGTTTTGAAGCTATAACCTCAAAGTCGTGGTGGCCGCGCCCCGGACGTCCCGCTGACCGCGGTGAGAGGCGGGGTGCTCGATGGAGGTGGGGGACGGGACCTGACGAGTTTTGGGAGCCCCCAGGGTTGGAAGAGGCGAGGAGGGCCTTCCCCGGGGCTCTGGTGGTCTCTGCGGCCTGGGGCAGGGGTCTCTAGCGCGGGCTGAGCACCCCTCCCCTACCCCCAATCTAACTTCTGGAACAGGCTCAGACTTTCAAACTCTCTCCTCTTAATTCCTGGGACTTTGGCGGGGAAGTTGCGAAAGAGTCCCCGAGAAATGGCAGTTACGAGAGGTGGGGAGAAACCCCCCGTCCCAAACAACATCCTCGCCAAATTTCTAGTGTGTTTGCTTTACTTACAAACGCTGTTTGGAGGCCAGCCGCAGCCCGTTCTGCACCGGACTTCCGCTCTCCCTGGGCTTTCAGACCTCCCCTCAACACTCACCATGGAGTGTCCTTCTGCCTAGCACAGCCCCCTTCCCTGCAAAAGGTTTGCCGCCTGACGCCCTCCCTTGTCCCAGCTTCTGACTCCCAGAGGACGGTGGCGAACCGAACCCCGCCCCCTTCCTCTGGGTGGGTGTGGCCAGCGGATTGCCCTAGGCCGCGACAGGCGGGTAGGGTTGGGGAGAGCAAAGGCCACCCCTTATCTGAATCCTTGGGAACTACGTCAGCACTGAGATGAGGGGCCGGGCTCTGGAGACGTTGCAAGTTGGGTTTTAGCATATCGTGGCTGCCACTGGACGGGCTGCGCCAGTCCATCCATCTCCAGTCAGCTCTTACCCTGGCAGCTGCAGGCAGGTTGCGGACCCCAAAGGCTTCAGTGGTCACCCGAGATTAAACTGGTTCAGGGGAGGACCTCTAAGATGCCCAGGTGAGCTCAGGCGCAGAAGAAGGTGAGGGGGACATAGGCGGTGACTGACAGGGACAGGTGTGTCTTTTCACCGCACTTCCCAGTTGGCGGAGGAGCTTCTGTAACAAGTTGGGACCTCTGTAACAAGCAGGAATCTCATTTCCGGCTGGCTTCACCCTTTGTCCACGGCAGCCAGAGTGGTGTGACATCGATCTGTTTATTGAGCAACTACTATGTGCCTGGCTAAGCATCACATGTGCAGTGTCTCCTCCAATCTGCAGGCCCTTTGAGCTAGGAGTGATTATCTAAGCTGACAGGTATAGGTGTAGCAAGCCAGGCTTCTAGCAAGATGCAAAGCTGGGATTAGAACCTGATTTAGACTCCAGAACTGGTGCTCTGAAAACGGCAGGTTGCGCTCTGGGAATGCTGAAACACATCTGGACTCCCTTTCTCTAGAAGGAAACTCTCAGAATCGAGGTTGGGGGTTCTAGGCAGGCTCACTCCAGAATTGCCTGTGGGACCAGCCTTTAAGGCAGGCACTGCTATTAGCCCTGTCTTACAGGTCAGAGAGCCGAGGCTAGGGGAGAGGATGTGCCTTGTCCAGCATACAGCACAGCATGGGCAGAACCGAAACTCTTGGCATCTAGTGTGAGGATCTTTTACCCAATTCATCTCATCTCACCTGCCAGGAAAATGAAGCATACCTATGGCTCCTGTCTCACCTGCAAATGTGTGCATTAGACCCACCAGGGGAGCCTTCCTCGCCCTTCTCACCCCGGAGTCTGACTTGATTGGTCTGCAGTGGGGCCAGGCATGGTTTCTCTAACTCTTTTTATTTTTCCTTTGTTTTTTTTTTTAAGCTTAATTTTTTTTTTAAACAGGTAATATTATCTACCTGGCTCAAAAGTCAGAAGCTTGCCCCAGTTACCTGATCTTCCTCCCTGAAAGGTGGCCACTTTTAACAGTTTCCTGTGTCTCTTTGAAGATTCTGTACACCCTGGCAAGGTAGCTCAGTCAGTTAGAGTGTCGTTCTGGTATGCCAGAGTTGTAGGTTTGATCCACGGTCAGGGCACATGTAAGAATCAACCAATGAATGCATGAACAAGTGGAACAACAAACTGATGTTTCTCTCTAAAAATTGATTTTAAAAAACATTTAAAGATTCTGTATAAATGCAAGTAAACACTTTCGCCCCATTCATGCTTTTGTCTCTTTACAGTATTTTGGTCCATGTCAATTTCATGTAAATTCTCATTGTTTTGCCAGGCTGCTGTACTAACCTGGTATTTTCTTTAGTCTCCTTCTGCTGGGCAAACAGGTTGTTACCAGGGTCTTGTGGCCAACACAGGCACACCTCCCCACCCCGCCCACTTGGCAGTACAAGTGTGGGACTGTCCCCACAGTGAGGTTTCTAGGTCAAAGGGAAGATACATCTTGAAACTTGATAGCTATTGGCAAATTGCTGTCCACAGAGGATTTTCTCCATGAGTGTCTCTGGAGCATTGTATAGGTGAGCCCTCCTAAGGCTGTACCCTGACTTTGCCCTTCAAGGTATAGCCCTGGATCAGCTGCATCAGCAGCAACAGGGAGCTTGTTAGAAATGTAGACCCTCTGCCTTGCTGAATCAGCCTCTACGCTTGGACAGGCCCACAGGTGCATGATAATGGTTGAGAGGCAGAGCTCTTAGAATTAGGGTAGGGGTTGTCAGGGGGAGGGGCAAGTCAGGCCGTACCTGACTAGGCCATTTGTCCACAGTGCATACTTCTGAGAAATGTCTACCAACGAGACAGAAGCCCCTGCCAACACCCAGGTGACAGCTGAAGAACCGGTACAGCAGGTGAGGAAGGTGTGGAATCTATGGAGTGAGGCTTCCCATATCTTGGTACCGTGGCAGGGAGCCAGGGAGCTGCTGGCAGCACATGGGGGTTAAGAAATATCTTTCTGACTGGGCTGGGGACAGCCAGCCAATAAACATCTAACAAGTGTCCCACTGACAAATGGGGGCAGGAGAACTGGGAATCTCAGAGGCTCTTGCAAGAACAGGGGTACTCCCTGAAACTGCATGACTCTTCCACCATGCTATCGTTCTCGGCCTCTGGAGGTTCTCTTAGGATCCCCCTTCCAAGAAGGTAGTCCCTATTCCCTTCTCCCCAGTTTAAATAAAATCCCCTTTTAATAGACTATTGCGGTATCATCTACACACCATGAAATTCACCCTTATGAAGAGTGCAACTCAACCAGCTGCTTTAGTCAACCAGCAAGTGATGCAGTCACCACCAAGGCAGTGTTAGAGCGTTTTTCCTCTTGCTCCAGAGAAAGGAGAGACCCTGAACCCGCAGCAGCCACCCCTCCCGCTTTCGGCCAGCTTCTGTCTCTATGAGGTTCTTCTTCCACCAAGTGTGATGTTTTCGAGGTTCATCCCTGTAATGTGTGTCCGTGCTTCATTCCTTTTAAAAAGTTGTGGTATAATACACATAACATAAAAATACACTATTTTAACCATTTTAAAGAGGGTCCAGTGCAGTGGCATTAAGTACATTCACAATGTACAACCATCCCCACCCTCTAAATCCAGAACTTTTTCATCAGCCCAGATGGAAAGCCCATCCCCAGTAATAGTCACTCCCATTTCCTTCTGCCCCCGGCCCCTGACGACCACTGCTCTGCCTTCTGTCTGTTGGTTTACCCTTTCTGGGGTAGCCGTATACCAATAAAATTTTACTTACAAAACCAGGCAGCAATGGAATACTATTTAGCCTTATAAAGGAATAAGATACTGACACATACTGCAACATGGTCGGTGAAATAAGCCAGACAAAAAAGGACAAGTACTGTGTGATTCCACTCACAGGAGGTCCCTAGAGGAGTCAGATCCACAGAGACAGGAAGTGGGTGGTGGGAGCCCAGGGCTGGGGGAGGGGGTGGGAGTTAGTGTTTAATGGGGACAGAGGTTCAGTGTGGGGAGGTGAGAAAATTCTGGAAATAGATGGTGATGATGGTTGTATACCAGTGTGAGTGTACTTAATGCTCCTCAACTGTACACTTAGAAATAGTTAAAATGGTAGATTTTATGTTATTTGTATTTTACTATAATTTATTGAATTATTTATGTATGTATGTATTTTAATCCTTACCCAAGGATATGTTTTATTAATATTAGAGAGAGAGAAATATTGATGTGAGAAACATCAATCAGTTGCCTCCCGTATGTGCCCAGACCAGGGATCAGACCTGCAACCTTTTGGGATATGGGTTGATGCTCCAACCAACTGAGCCACCTGGCCAGGGCTATATTTTACTACGATTTTTAAAAAATGATGCATTCACATACATTACTACATGGATGAACCTTGAAAACATTACTCAGTGAAAACAGACACAAAAGACCGCAGAGTATATGATTTCTTTTATAAAAAATGTCCAGAATAGACAAATTCATAGAGACAGGAAGCAGATTAGTAATTGCCGGGGCTTTGGGCGGGGAGGACGTGTGACAGTTAGTGGGCACAATTTGGGGTGATGGAAAAGGTCTACAGTTAATGGCAATGATTGCACAACCTTGTGAATATACTAAGACCACTGAATTCTACACTGTAAAAATGGAAAAACTTATGATGTGTGAACTGGATCTCAATAAAGCTGTTAGGAAGAAAAAAACAAGAATAAAAACATCAGTTGGTGGGTCATTGTCTTCAGACCCCAGCTTTCGATCGTAAGCTCTGTGAGAGTAGGGCTCTTGTCTCTTGTCACTCCCTGGCACACAGCAGGTGTCAAAGACACGTCCAAACAAATGAACTGCAGAGCTTAAGACAAAGGAAGCACACAGCGGAACCCTGAAGTTCCCGGGTTGTGCAATCGTGTGGGCCCAAAGCAGGGGTGAGCTGGCCCATTTCCCTGGCCACAAGTGAGAGCGAAAGTACTGGCACCAGAGTTTCGGGCCCAGACCTCCAGCACCCCCCGTCCCAACCCTGGCCCAGCCTGCCTTAGCAGCT